GGGTGGTTCTCTCTCTTCTGCATGTATGTATGTATATATATATATAGAGAGAGAGAGAGAGAGAGAGAGAGAGAGAGAGAGAGAGAGAGAGAGAGAGAGAGGTGAAGCTTTTCCACGATTATGGCAAAACTAGATCAAGAAATGGAAGTCAAATGAAATGGGAGGAGTTGTATGTATATATAATCATCATTTGTTAATGTGAAATTGAAATGGGGACAATGAGGAGTGATTTGGTGAGAGCTTAGAGAGAGAAGAGAAGGTGTTCTAGAGAGAGAAGAGAGGGTATGGTGGGTCACATTAGACGTGTAGGTAGATTTGTGCAGACACGGAAGCAGATTAAAGAATAGATATAAGTTTTGGTTGTATGCCACTTTTTTTTTGCATTTTGTCACTGCTAACATCACATGGTCAACTCTTCAATAGGTAAAAATGAGAATTGAAATCGCGTAAATTTTTCATTTTATCTAAGACTTAATCGGTTAATCCAAATCTTTTATTTATGCCATTAACGATATTAACCTTTCAAAAATTCGAACTCAGAGTTCAAATGGATGAAAATCAGTAGTTCATCTGTTAGTTGACCTAAAGTTCACGATTTGACCAAATTTTAACTAATTTTTAAAGGGTAAAATGATAACTTTATATTTTTCATATAAAAGAATTAAATTAATTAAAACAAATAATAATAATAATAATAATAATAATCAAAAGCAAGAAGTTATTGTCTTTAAAGTTTGATACTATGAATGGTACAGAAGAAAATGTTTGAATCAAATTTGAGACAAAATGAAAGTTTTGATATCATAGCTGCAATTCTCCTCAAGTAAAATAACAATGAATAAACTTTGAGATTTTATGAGTACCAAATTTTGGCAAGGGCAACAAGAAGTGAAGATATTTGAGGGTTCGCATCTACTCTACTCGACTTGACTTGAATGAGGTAGTTCATCTGAAAATAATGTTTTAAAGCTCAACTGGGTGGGCATTGAGGTGGACGAAATCATTTTTCGATCATGATTCTTAAGAGAGTAAAAAATAATTTTTTGAAGTGTAAATTTACTGACCAATTTGAATCGTATCACAAATTTCACGATTGAACTCGTCAAATCCAAATTTATACTATTTGTATGAGTTGTCGGAATATTTGGATTTGGTTAACCTAG